ATCTGATAAGATGCATGGGATAGTTTCAATTCTTTTGCATTTACTGAAATATGTTCCCTAGTGTATGGTCTGTTTTACAGAATGTCCCCTGTACTGCCTGAGAAGAATGTGTATTCTGATTTTGTTGAATGGAACACTCTGTGTATGTCTATCACAGGTGTGATTCAGTTCTGTTATTTCTTTGTTGGTTTTTCTGTCTGCTTGATCTGTTCCTTGGTGTTAATGGTGTGTTAAAGTTTCCTGTTATAATTGTGTTATTGCTTATTTGATTTTTCCTTTCTATTAATACTTGCTTTTTATAACTGGGTTCTCTGAAATTTGGTGCATGTATATTGAAGATTGTTATCTCTTCCTTTTGAAGTTTTCCCTTAACCAGTATGTAGTGACTTTCTTTATCTCTTCTTATCATTCTTGGTTTGAAGTTCACAATGTCTTCAAGTAGAATAGCTACTCCCACTTTTTTTTTTTTTTTTTTTTTTTGGTTCCTGTTGCATGAAGTATTGCTTTCCATTCTCTGACTTTCAGTCTGTGAGTTTCCTTGTGGGTTAGACGGGTTTCTTGTAGACAGCATATGGTTCAATGTTGTAACTTGATCCATTCTGCCAGGCTGTTTCTTTTAATTGGTGATTTGAGACCATTTACATTAATGATTATAACTGTTATATATTGCTTTATTGTTGACATGTTATCTTTCTGCTGCTGCATCTTTATCTTTCTATTCTGTTTTATTGTCTGCTTTGCTTAGTGGTTGTTTCCTAAGTGTATCTAAACTGTCTTTCAGTATACTTTGCATGCTTGCCTTGGTGATCATGAAGTCCTTCAGGCGTTGTTTGTCATGGAAGTATCTTATTTCTCCATTCATTTTGAAGTACAGCTTTGCAGGGTACATCAGTGTAGTTTGGAAATCACTTTCCTTTAGGATCTGAAATACTTCACTCCATGCTCTTCTTGACTTTTTTGTTTGTGCTGAGAATTATGCTGTGATTCTGATAGGTTTTCCTTTATAGGTGATCTGTCTTTTGTCTCTAACAGCTTTTAATATTCTGTTCTTATGTGGGATTTCTGGGGTGGTGATTATTATATGTCTGGATATAGTTTTATTTTGGTTATGGCTATTTGGAGTTCTGTATGCTTCAGTGATCTTGATGTCAGTTTCCATTCTCATGTTTGGGAATTTTTTATCTATTACTTCTGTAAATATCCTCTTGATATCCTTTGTGTTGTACCCTTCTTTTTCTTTTATCTCTACGAATCTTACGTTGTTTTTCTTTGCATCATCTTGAAGGTCTTGAATTGTTATTTTCTGATTCCTTGTTATTTTTAAAACATCTTTCCTTTCCAGTTAACCAGCTGAAATCTTGTCTCTGACGTCTGAAATTCTATCTTCACTTTCATTGAGGTGGCTTCGACAACTTCAATGGAATGTTTGATTTCCTGTGTGTCTCTTTGAATCTGCTTCATGTATTGTGTTTGTTTGTTATATTGTTCATCCAGGGATTCTTTCTTTTTATTTTGTTCTTCTAATTTTTTAACTGTGTCTTCTTTAGAGGTGTTCAGCATCTCTTTCATCACTTTTATCATTTCTTCTTTTACCTGGAAATGATTTCTGGTTTGAATTCCTTTAAAGATTCCTTGAGTTGCTTCTTTATTTCAGTTGATGTTATTTCAGATATTTCAGGTGTATGGCATATATTTTCTTCTATGTATATAGCTCCTAAGTTTTCTTGGGATGGGCTGGAGGTTTGAGATTGCATTTTAGTCTTTTGTTTTGTCGTTTTCCTATATCTCCCTGTTTCACGTGTTGTTCCAAGGCTTCCCTTGGGCCTGTTTGAAATCGTCTTTATGCCCTCAGCTCCTAGGACTTCAGCTGCCCATTTCTCTGGACTGAGAGAAGTTCACTGCATGGCCTAGGCAGGCCCGAAACCTGTGGAGCTGGGCAAGTGTGGCAGGAAGCTGGTAGGGTCCTTGACCAGTGGGAGAGATGATCTTAAACTCCTGGGGCTCGGGGTGGGACTTGGACCCTCACTTCCAGCCGCCCAGTTCTCCCAGTTCTCCAGATTGAGAGAGGGTCACTGGGAGTGGCGCAGGCAGACCCAAAACCTGTAGAGCCAGTCAAGTGTGGCAGGAAGCTGGGAAGTGCCTTGACTTGTGGGAGCAATGGTCTTAAACTCACAACTTTTTTATCCATTCCTCAGTTGATAGACACTTAGGTTGTTTCCAAAATCTGCCTATTACACATTGTGCTGGAATAAACATGGGTGCATATATATCGCTGTGGTATGATATTTTCAGTTCTTTTGCGAATATGCCTGGAAGTGGAATAGCTGGGTCAAATGGGACTTCCAATCCAAGTTTTCTGAGGAATCTCCAGACTGACTTCCACAGTCTTTGCACCAGTCTACACTCCCATCAAGGAGAGTTCCTTTTCCCCCATAGCCTTCCCAGCATTTGTTGTTGGTAGTTTTTTTGATCTTGGTCATTCTTTCTGGAGTGAGATGGAATCTCAGTGTTGCTTTAATTTGCATTTCTTTAAAGACTAATGATGATGAACATTTTTTCATGTGTTTATTTTCCATGTGTATTTCTTCATCTGAGAACTGTGTATTCATCTCAAAAATAGGATGTTAAAGTGAAATCAGCCAGTATAGAGAATTAACTGTCATGTTTTCTCTTTTGTGAGATAAATAAATATACACAAATTAATGAAAGGAAAGCATGAGAAATAGTTCTGGAATGGAATAGAAGTGAAGCTGAAGGGGCCATAAAATAAGGAAATTGAAATAATTTAAGACATATATCAACATTACAAAATGACTCCACCATCATGTAACATTAACATGGACTAATACACCATTAGTTTAAAATACTCAAATATTCATAAGTTCACAGTACTCATTCACGTTATTTCTGGTTTTGAGGCAATCTCCTATGTCAACATATCTGATTATATAGTTTAAAAGTAGTAATGAAGTTCTGACGTATACCTAAGTTTTCCACTCACATAAGTGAGTTATGAAAATAATGGAATATTTTCTCTTACAATATCAATTAAACAGAAATGCTTTCCTTTTTATTTTTATTTTTCTTTATTTTAAAGAGAATAGAACCCAGGAAAATAAATCAGAATAAAACCAATCAAAATAAACTAATATAAGTGATACATGACTTCAAAACCTTATGAAATCAGCAATGGTTATCATAGTGCCTTTTGTTGTCTTCAAAATAGCTGCAGATACTTTCAGACAGTAAAAATTAAATAGAACAGAATAAAGTAGAAATAATAAAAGCAAAACAATGAATTCAATCAAAGACTTCAAAATAAGCTAATAGTAAATCCAAAATGGCTACCATAAAATGTCTTGATGTTTTAAATAGTTGCTCATGCCATCAGATTTAACATAAACAAAACAAAAGAAAATAAAACACAATCCAAGAAAACAATGAAAATGATATGATTTCTAAACAGGCATTCCTTCCTGGTGAGGCCTGGTTCTCTCCCTCTGCAGTCTGCAAATGGCACTGAGTGAAGGAGAGAGGTTTGGGTCTGGCTGTCCCCACTAGAGCAATGGCCTACCCATGGTGCTGGTTTCCAGGTGCTGATTATCTCTTTGTGTGGCCTTGTCCCCCAACCACTGTGCTCTGCAAATGATGCTGACTCCATGCTTTGTCTTTTATAAGGCACACAGATCTTTTCTGCTACATTAAGACTGTATGTCATTAAGTGATAGATAATTAGCATAGTCAGTACTGGTGAACTGGTGACACTCATGCCACTCTGTAATTATTGAAAGCTCTAAAAGGTTTGCCACCACTGCCATAAACTCTGAAAAATGTTTTTTCTACCACATTTGAATTTGGCAATTACTAATATGGATGTCAGTAAGAAAGTATTATACTCTTTGATCCACTAAAGAAAATGTATCTAAATAAAAATGTTTTTGTTGTTTTATTTGATGCTTGTAGAGATTGTTATGTCAGGATGTCTATATACAGCTTTAAAACCAGTCAAACAACTACATCTTCCCAGAAATGCTCTGCTATACATAACCATTTGGTTAAGTGAAGTCTAAATATATGTGCACTCACCAGGAAGAGTGATATTTTTAACATGTCTCAGTAGACTTGTTCCTATCAGAGTAACTGTTATGTGAAACTCACAATGGCACTTGTTCCTGTGGAGCAGTCCTTCCTGACATTGCCATTGTGATACAGAATTGCAAGAGTTTAAATGTACACGTTGGCCATAATATCTGCTATGTTTCACCACATTATTGTGCTTATAACTTCTTGATTTGGGGATACTGTAAGCCTGCTTCTGACTGTAAGCTATGAAAATAAAGTGCAAGCCTTTGTAAATAACACATTATTTTTGTAAGGAAATACAGTGGGTAATATGATGGATAGGGTTGTTGTGATCTGTTTCAGAATTGCCAAGAGTTTTAAGTTAACAGTGGGTTTGCCTAAGGATACTGAATAGATTTGTTCCATCATGTTCATTACTTCCACATGCAAAGACTCAACTTATCTTGCCTCAAAAATTACACAACAGCCAAGGGTAGATCTCTAGGGAGCAGTGGGTAGCACTTATTCGTCTGAGGTGTGAATGCTATCCATGCTCAGCAGGGGCTGCTCCATCTGTCCTGGGAAGTCTCCCAAATTTCAATCTGTAAACCTCTTTTAGAACTTTCTGCATTATTGTGTGTTCGTTGAGTGATGTTCTCAGTGTTTCTTTAAAAATTTACTATGTTTTAGCTCATTTCCAGAAACTATACTGTAATAAAAAGTTCTCTCTCTCTCTCCTCCCCACCCCCACACACGCACATATTATGTCTAACAAATAAGTACTTTTTCATTTTCTTGGCATTTTAATCTAAACTATACTACATAAGCAGTTTGCATAGTAACAATATGAAGGTTATAGAGTTCTTGAAGAAGTTTTTCTAGAATCCCTCCTAAAGTCCCTAGACATGTTGTGATTCATGGTTTTTGCTTTTTTGTAGAGATTTTCAGTGATGGCACTTTTTTTTGGAATCAGTGTGTCTCAGCTGTCATGGCTTCAGTACATCAGTATTCCATATTTTGGAATGAAGGTAATTGTGTTTGTCCATCTCAGTGACTGTGTCCCAGACTGGAACCAAACTAAGTAAACCCTTCTCATCTCATTTTCCTGGCCACCATTTTAAGGTGTAGTGGCTGATAAACCCTATAAGCAGTGGTTAGCACAAAACAGGGTGTTGAGTGGTGTTTTCTCAGGTCTCTTCACTCTCTGAGGGAGGTAAAAGTTGTGATAAATCTCATAGTAAAAATTTTCCAGTTGATCCAAATAAAAAATATTTAGTTCAATAAATAAAAATGAAAATAAATGAGATTAATAAAGAAAATAAATGTGATGATAGGAGACTAGAATGCAGTTTGCATTTTAAATAAGAACAAGACCAAAGGCCATGTAATGGTCATAGTCACATTTGCTTTAGTGTGCCAATCAGTCGCAAAGAAAATTGTTTCTATTTAAATTTTACTGTAATATAAGTAGATGCTAATAAGATGTAAAAAAAATCACATTTCTTAGAAAAATATAAAACAAAATAATTAAAGAATAACATACTGTTAATATACTGGGTATCATAATCTTAAAAGAATAGCCAAAGTGTTATTCAAACTAGACTCTGTCACAAAGAAGAAACAAGTGGAAAAAAGCTCAAACATTCTCTTTAATAAAGTAAGGAAATTGTTAGTATAAATGGTTTTCTAGGTATAATAATTGCAAGTAGTTTAGATAAAATCAAACAAGAATCAAATATCATTGCCATAAATCAGCACTATTCCTTGAACAGCACTGTTATCATATCAAAATTAGTGTTTGTGAATTTATGATACAGTGAAGTGAGTAAAGACAGAGGTGCAGTCTGAGCTATTCTATCAAGTGTTCACCTTCTTGGTCAACTGAAAGTAATACTCCAACTATCAGGCCTCTTCAAGGCCAGGAAGATAAGCCTAGTTGCTTTGCTGTGACAAGGATTGTCAATGTTATATTTTAAGAAAGAAATAAAGAATGAAAGAGACAGAAAGGTAGAAAGAAAGAAACAAACAAACAAAAAGAGAAAAAGAAAGAAAGAAAGACATACAGGTAGACAGAAGGAAAGAAAGAGAGAGAGAAAGAAAGAAAGAAAGAAAGAAAGAAAGAAAGAAAGAAAGAAAGAAAGAGAAGAAAGTAAGAGAAAGGAGAGAGAAACAAGGCCAAGATTGCAATAAATTACTTAGAAAATGTTTAGAATTTAAAAATATTCACTTTGCTCTAGTTCCCATTGTGTTTTAGGCTTTGCAGCACAATGACTTTTTGGGGCAAAACTTCTGTGAAGGACTCAGTGAAACTGAAATCAGTGGCTGTCCAAACTTTGTAATGTAAGTCTGTGCCCAGCATCATAATGGGTTTGTTCCCTTGTGTGGTGTTCTGGAGAAAGGCCCTTGGGCTTACAGCTGATATGAGCCTTTTCAGTCAGAAAATCATTCTGCACCTAACTTATCCCTTTTGTGAGTGAATCATTATGAGTGACACATGTGAACATGCTGTAAAACTAGTGTTCTTCTGCAGTAAATATAATTAATATGGAAAAACATTTGTGTTATGCTTTGTAGAGCATTTTGATGTTTTCATAGTTCATTTAAGTTTTTTCCTAAAATGAGTTTCTTGGCTAGTGACTCAAAGACTTATAATATCTGGGAGTTGTAAGTCTTACTCTTGGTAGGAGCTAAAATGAGAGCAGCAGGGTAATCCTGGCAATACTTTTTTCCTCTGGCACTGGAAGTTTTTATGAAATGAAAATCTGCAAATTTGAGTGTGTCTGTGTGTCAATGGCCTAAAAGAGGTGTCCTTTAGAGAAAGAAACATCTCAATACATTCAGCAGGAAATCTCATTTCTGTATCATGACATTAAAACAAAAATATAGCTTTAAAAAAGTTACAAGATCTTGTAAAATTTTAATGATGTTTTCCTTTTCTATGTTGTTTTTAATGTTTGATCTTCATACATAAATTAATGTGAGAAGAGAGAATGTTTCTTTCTGTTCCATGGTGTCTTCCATTGTCAAAGGCAAAGAAAATTTCCCAGATTGTGGTTGGGCACTGTTCTTTCCCTGTATGCTGGTGCTGCCCACTCTATCTCCTATTATTGTTCTCAGACTCACAGAAAGGAGAGACTATATATTTTGCCTAACTATCAAACCTCCCCATGACAAACTCAAAACTGCTCAAAAGAGATTGTTTTATAATTTCTTCTTTAGATGTGTATTTTATCTCCTCTTTGGAATGCTTAAGTATTAATGGCCTAGAGAATATTTAGCAATGATAAGCACTCTTCAATGACTCTTTAAGTACTATAAATTGAAGTGATAACTATTAGTGTTTGGTTATCCTATAGACTTTATCAAAGAAATACTGATTTAATATATGTTAAAGCCATGAAGTTATATTCTTTTTGTCTTAAATTTCAGATGTACTGGTGAAGAATTCCTGAGAAGTGTGGATATTGATCTTTCACCTTGGGGCTTATGGCAGAATCACATGGCTTTGGGTGCTGTGATTATTATATTCTTCATAATTGCTTTCCTAAAATTATTGTTATTTAAAAGGCTTGTTTAATGGATCAGAGATTTAGCTCACTGGCATACATGCCAGCTTGGCTAGCATGAGTTCTTGAGTTCAATCCCTGGTTCAAAAAATGTTTTTAAGATTTCTCTTAAATTTACTGTGAATTACTTTCCCATTAAAAAGATACATAGCCATTTATTTTCAGTGTCTATCTGTCTCTTACCATTACACTATTGTTCAGCAATAATAATAATTATTATTTTTTTAAATTTAAATTTATTTTTTTAAAAAGGTTAAAACTAAACCTAACAAAACAGAATAAAGCAGATCAGAAGAAAACAATGTATGTGACACAGGTTTCAAAGCAAGACCACAGGAGATCTACGGTAATTAATGTGTCTTTTTTTATTCTAAATGGATGTCTGTATCTTCACACACAATGAATGCATACAAAGTAAAATAGTATAAAACTAGTCAGAACAAAATAATGAGGGCATTACAGGCCTCCAATATTGGACAATAGGAAAATCAACAATGGCTACCTCAGTGTCTCTTGTTCTCTTCAAAATAGCTGTCCATACCTTCAGGAAAAATCAGAAACAAAAAAAACCAAATAAATAACAATAGCAAAGAGCCCCAAACCATAATGATACAGACCTTCAAAGTACGGTGGAAGGGACAGAATTAAGGTTGATATTTTACTTAGTGATCTTCAAGAGTTACTCAGGTCTCCTGACACAGGCATACAAAATTGTTCCAATTGTATGAATATTAACTGCTTTGTTCTACAAACTTATAGAATTTGTAGCACAATCATCTTAGTTACCCTAAGTGTGTTTATACAAATTTAGATATTTTTTCTTTTTCCTGATTTTTCCCAGAGATATTATGGTTTTCCCTTTTGAGAAGATTCTTACCCTTTCACTGTATTTATTGAAGATTTCATATTTTATGGACTCATACCATTTCTTACATTAGGGAGACAATATGGTATTTACTCATGTGAGTTTCATTTATTTCACTTATGAGTATGCTCTCAATTTGCACCCACTTATGTACAAATATCTCAATGTGATCATTCTTTATAGCTGAGTAGTTCTCCATTGTATAAAAGTACTACATCTTTTTTTATCCATTCCTCAGTTAGTGGGCATTTAGGCTGTGCTCAAGATCTAGCTATTACAAATTGTGCTGCTATAAACATGGCTGTACATATATCATTGTGATATGATACTTTCAATTCTTCTGCTAATATGTCCAGAAGTGGAATAGCTGGGTCAAAAAGGGACTCCAATCCCAGCTTCTTGAGGAACTTCCATCTGACCTCCACAGTAGTTGCACCAATCTGCACTCCCTTCAACAGAACAGTTCCTTTTTCCACACAGCCTCTCCAGAATTTGTTATTGGTAGTTTTCTTGATGCTGGCCATTCTTTCTGGAGTGAGATGGAATCTCAGTGTGGTTTCAATTTGCATTTCTCTAATGACTAATGATGATAAACATTTTTTTTCATGTATTTATTTTCCATTTGTGTTTCTTCAACTGGGAACTGTGTGTTCAACTTAGATGCCCATTGTTGGATTGGGTCTTTGAATTTCAGTGGTCTGATTTTTTAAAAATTCTTTATATGTTCTAGACAGATGTCCTTTGTCTGAGGAGAAGTTCACTAAGATTTTTTCCCAGTTTATGGGATTTCTTTTCACTATGCTGGAGATTTCTTTCAACCTGCAGAAACTGTTTAATAAGACGTGATCCCAGTTATTGATTCTGGGAAGTATTTCACTTGTGGTTTGATTCTTGTTCATGAATTCTCTACCTAGTTCTATGTCTTCTAAATTTCTACATACTTTGTCTTCCAGCAGATTTAGTGTTTCTGTTTTAATATTTAGATCTTTGATCCATTTTGAATTTAGGTTAGTAAATGGTGAAAAGCTTGGATATAGTTTTTGTTTTTGCCATTTGGTGAGCCAGTTTTTCCAGCACCATTTATTAAAGAGACTATCTTTCTTAAAGTGGACATGTCATTCACTTCCTCAAAGATAAGATGTCTGAGTGTGTTTGTAGTTGTAGTTGTATCTTCTAATCTATTCCATTGATCTTCAGGTTTGTTTTTATATCACCCTCATGCTGATTTTATTACAGTAGCTTTGTAGTATAACTTCAAGTTAGGAATTGTGATGCCTCCTGCCTTGCCTTTGTTGCTGAGAATTAATTGCCTTTGCTATTCTAGATCTTTTCTGGTTCCAGAGGAATTTTAGGAATGATTTCTCTAGGTCTGTGAAGTACACTAACGGTATTTTGATTGGGATTGCATTAAATCTGTATAACAATTTTCGGAGAATGTCCATTTTCATAATGTTTATTCTTCCTATATGTAAACAGTGAATGTATTTCCATTTTCTGAGATCCTCTTTAATTTCTTTTTTTCAGGGTATTATAATTTTACCTGAATACATCTTTTATTTCTTTTGTTAGACTGATTCCTAAGAATTTCATTTTTTTGGATGCTATTGTGAAGGGCATGGCTTCACTTATTTCTCGGTGAGTTTGTTGTTTGTGTATGCTATTGATTTTTGAGTGTTGACTTTTTATCCAGCTGCATTTTGAATTTATTATTCCTAGGAGTCTTTCAATAGTGTTTTGAGGGTCTTCTATGTAGTGTATCCTGTCACCTGCAAATAATGATAGTTTAACTTCTTTTCCTATGCTTACCATTTATTTCTCTCTGTTATCTAATAGCTCTGGCTAGTATTTCCAGCACTATATTGAATAGGAGTTGTGGTAATTGACATTCTTGTTTTTTTTTTCCCTGATTTTAGAGTAAAGGCTTTCAGTTTTTGTCCATTTAATATGATGGTGGCTGTTGGTTTGTCATAGATGTCTTTTATCATATTGAGGTAAAGACCATCTATTCCAATTTTCTCTAAGGTTCTTACCATAAATGAGTATTGGCTCTTGTCAAAAGCTTTTTCTGCATCTCTAGAAATATTCATGTGATTCTTATTTTTGGTTCTATTGATATGGTGATTTACATTTATTGAATTGCACATGTTGACCATCCCTGCATTCCTGGAATGAATCCCACTTGATCATGGTATATAATCTTGATGATTTGTTGCATTATGTTTGCCAGTATTTTATTGAGAAATTTTGCATCTTTGTTCAGTAGGGAGATTGGCCTGTAGTTCTTTTTTGTTGTTGTTGGGTCTTTATCTGGGTTTGGTATTCGCATAATATTCGCTTCCAGAAGTGAGTTAGGGAAAATCACTTCCCTTTCAATTTCATTGAAGAGTTTGAGGGAGTGTCAGCATTATCTCTTCTTTGAATTTCTTGTAATATTCTGCAGTAAGTCCATCTGGATGTGAGCTTTCCTTTGTTGGTAAGATTTCTAATGATATTTTCAATTTCCTTAATTGAAGTTGGGTTACTCAGCCATTTTACATCTTCTAGGAATGTGTCCATTTGTTCTGTGTTATCAAGCCTATCAGAGTAGAGGTTTTTGAAATAGATATTGTTTAACTTCTGTATTTCCACAGGGTCTATAGTGATTTCACCCTTTTCATTCCTTTTGGCATGATATTGAGTTTTTTCTTTCCTTTTAAAAATAAGATTGACTAGAGGATTATAAATTTTATTTATTCTTTCAAAGAATCAACTCTGATTCATTGAGTCTTTGTATTGTTTTCTTAGTCTCTATTGCCTTAATTTTGGCTCTGATCTTTATAATATCCTCCCTTCTTTTGGCTTGGCTTTGACTTGCTTTTCTTTTTCTAGGTGTTTGAAGTATAACATCAAGCTGTTTATTTGTGTTTGTTCTGTTTTCCTGATGTGGGGATTTACTGAAATCTTGTTTTTGAGGTCTGAAATTTTATCTTCACTTTTATTGAGGCAGTTTTTCCAACTTTTAATGGAATTTTTGATTCCCTGTGTATCCCTTTGAATCTGTTTCATGCATTCTGTATGCTCCTTATATTGTTAATCCAGGGATTCTATCTTTTTGCATTGTTTCTCTAATTTTTTTAACTGTCTTTTTTTAGATGTGTTCAGCATTTCTTTCATTATATTTATCATTTCTTATTTTACATGGGATATACTTTCTGATCTGTGTTCTTTTATAGCTTCTCAGAGTTTCTTTTTTTTTTTGTCTTTTTCATTTTTATCGGTACCAAGGATCGAACTCACGACCGCCTGCTTGCAAGGCAGGTGCTTATGCCGCTGAGCTAAATCCCCAGCCCCTTCTCAGAGTTTCTTTATTTCAGTTGCTATCATTTCAGGAGTTTCAGGTGTATGGTCTGCATTTTGTTCTATGTCCATGACTCCTAGGCTTTCATGGGATTCACTGGAGTTTTGAGATTGCATTTTGCTCATTCATTTTGACACTGTTCTGTATTCCTTTAGGGAAACCTATTGCAAGTCCTCATTTGTTTCTTGGGTTGAGAATATCTATTCTTATTGCAGAGAGTTTCCCTAGTTGAGTGAAGTTTCTAAAACAGATCAAATGGTTCCAGCCACTTGGGATTGCTTGGTGGGGCCTTACCAGGCTAGGAGCCAAGTGCCAAAGCTTCCCCATGGGCTGTACAGTGCTGCACGCACTTGGGCTTGCCAGGCCAAATGCCGACAGCTGTGGCCAGCTTGGGAGTCACTGAGCAGGGGCCAGATCAACCCCAAGGGACCTCCCTGTGCATCCTCTGGTGATGTGGGAGGCAAGGCAGGGTCTTACCAGTCTCCCTGCAAAGCACCAAAGCTTCCATGGGCTGGATAGTGCTGTGAGCACTTTCTGGCCTGCCAGTTGGAATGCAGGCAGGTAGGCAATACCTTGGTGCACCCATATAGGCCCAGTGGGATCTCCTGGTATCCTCCAGTGATGTGGGATGAAGGGAAGAGTCTTACCAGGCTCCCAGAAAAGTGATATATCTTCTGTGGGCTGGATAGCGCTATTTACACCTTCTAGCACACAAGCAGAATGTGGGCAGCTAGTCAATCACTGGGAAGGCACGGGTAGGCCTAGAGGGATTTGCCAGTGAGTCCTCTCATGATGTGCAAGGTGGGGTGGAGACTTACCAGTCTTCCAGCAAAACACCCAACAATAATTATTTTATTGTAACTATTCACTAAAATCAGAGCAAACTGAGTTTTTTGAACGTGTAAAGACCTCATCTGAACAAATAATGAGGAAATAATCTAATGTGTTAACTGAAA